ATTTGCTGTGCAATTGTATTATCATCATAGTTGAACAAAGAAGAAAAGAAAAAGTGGTGAGATCATGGTTCAGAAAGTAGATGCAATTGGAATGTTCAAGAAAAACTTACCAGGAGAAATGAAGTGACGTCGTCGTCGTTGTCATGACAAAAATTGTCATTATGGGGTGAATTTCCATTGAGATGTTTGATGGGTTGTTCGTGTGTTGTCGCACACTATTATCATCCTTCATCTTTTTCAAAGTCGTACCAAGAATGTACTTTTTAAGGGATCGCATTTCTGGGCTCTTGCCGATCATGGACACGCTTACGAGCCTCGGCCTGCCCATCCATTCAACAAAGACTGGAGGGAAGCATCCAAACTCAGCAAGCCATGAAATCGTCTGGTTTCGCGTCGCCGATGCAATCCTAGTGAGTGACCAATCCACTAGAAACCACAAAGGAAAACACTAGCCAGCCGAAGGATCCCTTATAAAAAATGTGCGACGACACATCAAGACTTGCAGATTTGCTGTGCAATTGTATTATCATCATAGTTGAACAAAGAAGAAAAGAAAAAGTGGTGAGATCATGGTTCAGAAAGTAGATGCAATTGGAATGTTCAAGAAAAACTTACCAGGAGAAATGAAGTGACGTCGTCGTCGTTGTCATGACAAAAATTGTCATTAAGGGGTGAATTTCCATTGAGCTGTTTGATGGGTTGTTCGTGTGTTGTCGCACACTATTATCATCCTTCATCTTTTCCAAAGTCGTACCAAGAATGTACTTTTTAAATGGCACAGTTTCGTCGATTTGCCACTCGGCGACTGTATCGCCTTCCTTGTTCCGTCATGCCAGATCCCAAAGCTTCTGTGAAAGTATCCTCTGCATGTGGAATCAGAAGCTTGGCCCGTCGAAGGCTGTAGCGCTTTCCAGACTCGGTCCATCCCGATCCCATCCCATCAGAAGGAATATCAATAGTAGCTGCGTTGTCAGATTCCTCGGGTGGTGGTACCGGAATGTTGTCATCGATGATAGTATCCTCCAAAGGATCCTCGGCAGAATCAATGCCGTCATCAATCAATCCAGCATCCAAAGACGATTCAATATCGCTAAAGTTGTCTTGTTCTTCTTCTTCTTCTGGATCTTCAAAATGACAGGTAGCAAAGGAGTGAATTGTTCATTGATTTGTTTGGCCCATTCTGTAGCAGAAGTTGGAACCGAAGATGAATTCAATTTGCGACGCTTGGTGGCCCTCGATGCAACAAGGCATTAAGTTGCGGTTCTCTTGAGTGACAGTTGTGGTGCTTCATCTTGCATGTCATTAGGCTCGACGTTGCCGTCATCATCCAAATCCATTGGTACGGAAATATTGGAGAGCATGTCATCAAGGACGGTTCGAAGCAGTTGTCGGTGGTTCTCGAGCGCAATTGCAATGGTTTCAGAGTTGACATTGCCATCAATAAATCCAGTATCCAAAGATGAGTCAATGTCACTCAAATCTTCTTCTGCTGGATCTTCAATAATGGTGGCAAGCACGGTAGGTTTGAACTTGAGCTTCCAGCGTCGGGCATTCCGTCTCTTGATCTTGCGTTCAATTTGATGAAGTAGCTGTCTTCAGGACTTCAGCTCTTCCTCGTCGGGAATGAAGTTTCTCCTTCAAGTCTTAGGGGCAAATTGGACTCGGCTTGAAGAGGTTGGTTTGGGTGATCCCCAATCTTGTCTTGAAGGACAAAGAATGGACACAGGAGTATGTGGAACGAATCACTGTGTTCTCTATCTCTGGAATTACTTCGTCGTGAAGTTGAATGCGCCACTGAATCAGACCCCAGCATTCCCTGCGAGATTGTAGCTCTTGCTTGTTTGGGACAAAGGTTCAACGAAAGATTTTGGCAAAACGGACACGGTTTGGTTTTCTGGTGAACACACCAAACCAACTTTGGTTTTTCTTGCGATGAGACAACCCTCCTGGACAACGAAGAATGGAAACAGGAGGCTGTTGTCGGTTGCAGCTCCGTTGCTCGCAAAGTGCTTGATAGCTTCGGTATAGGTCGAGCGCCATGTACCAAAGTAACAAGAGCGCCGCCGCACAAACCAAACCGGCTGCAATGGTTTCTCGAACGGTTTGAGTGACGATCAAAGGCATCCGAACAGGCAATCGAAAGAAGCTGATGCCTGCTTGAATGATGTATTCTTGATTGACGATGATGGTAGTGATGTAGTTGATGTAGTTGATAATAGTGTTGGTCATGTTGATGTTTGGTCTAGTTGGTGTATTGGTTGGTGTAAAGAATTTCATAATGTAAGTTGTGAGGTGTGTGTGTGAAAACAAAACGTTCAGCCCGAGCGGTTGGAGAAAAAGCGGTGTGTGTTCGCGGAGTCTCCACGCTTGACTCCTTCGAATCAATCTAGCAATACAGTATTTGAAAATGCTGATGCTGATTCTAAAGTAAGGTGCTGGAAGGTTGGAACATTATCAATTATGATGATGTGATGTCAACCATGCGCATCTTCAATATCATCTTGCACCTGCTCGTTATCTTACTGTATTGTTGCGATTTCGATTTGGCTATGGTTGGCCCTCCACCTCGTGATTGAAGTTATTCGTGACTTGGCGTCCTGCCAAGTGAAAGCGAACGAAAAGTCAAATTCGTCTGGTCAACCATCCGAATATTCCCTTGATATTTCTTGCGACACGTAGACCGTAGCAAAAGTTCGATCACATTGACTACATCAGTTGGCATACGGTCGAAGGCCGTAACGGCCTTCGCCAATAGTCATTGTCCTCCTACCGGTACGATAGAGAGGCAAGGACAGCTCAGTTTATTACAGTGGTTTGATTTTGATACGTCTATTATCAATATCAATTCATTTTTCTTTTCCACCATCATCCACCCTATTGGGCACCATCGCCTTTCTTCTATGCGGTGATGGTGCCCAGTAGGCAAGCAGGTCTCAGAAATCCTGTTGACGGGATTCCTGAGATTGTTCTTCCGGGTCCCCCTATTGACCCGGAATCTTCACACCAAAACAACTCACCGGTCAGACAGATCCAAGACGAACACCAAGCGGAAGGTGCAAGTAGGCTATCTCAGATAGCCAGGTCAATTCAGAAAAGGTTGTCCATTGCGGTTCCATTTGATCAGAAAAGGTCGTCCATCCACTATATTTATAATACCTGTATCCACAGTAATTTTCAAACCTGAGTGCATAGTCCTACGGTATTACAGTCAAACAAAAAACATCACCAATACATGAAAGAATTCAAAGTTGAACGAACGCTTGGCACAAATGTCCAAGTAGTCCGCTTTACTGCGGACGGTCGATATTGTTTGACCGGAGAACGTCAATCTGTAACATTGTGGAATCCGTTCAAGAGTTTGGACGATAATGATGAGGGTGACGCCTTGCTGATTCAAACCTACAAATTGGGAATCACGCATCCAGTGACATCTATAACGACTACAGTAACCTCTTCCACAAAGGAACCGTCTTGGCTTGTTGCAGGAACCAACAAGACGGCAGTGGTGATGGATATGGTGACCAATCAAGTCGTCCGAAAGTTGCAAGGTACGATATGATCGTGATGATGAAGGATTGGTTTGCATTGCATTGCATTCTATTGCGTATACTCATTCATTCATCTATTCATTCATTCATTGTTGCATGCCATTAGGGCAATTGGGAAGAGTCAATGTTGTCGAGTGCACGGATCATGGACAAGTATTGTTGACAGGATCCTACGATGGATCCGTATATTTGTGGGATGGTCGAGCCATTAATAACCACAAACCAGTCCAAATATTACACGAGGCCAAAGATAGTATCATGGATATTCTACTAGAGCCACAGCATGTCATTCGAACGGGTTCCATTGATGGGACCATGCGGAGTTATGATATGCGCTATGGCCAATTGACCAACGATGCCATGGGTGGGCCTATTGTGTCCATGGCCAAGACCAAGAGTGGGAGCGAGAATGCTTGTCTGGCAGTATCCTGTATGGAAGATTCCACGATACGGCTTGTCGATATTGGAAGTGGAGATTTGGTCAATACATATGAAGGCCATCACAAGGCGTCACAATTCAAGGTGGAGGTGGATGTATTAGCAAATGATAAATGTGTGGGTGAGTGAAACTGGAGTATCTTGCTATTTTTGTGAACCACTTATAAAAAGATCTCTGGCGCTAACTCATTCCATTGTTGTCTCTTGGATTTTTTTGCATCTACATTGCTATAGTCACTGGCTCCGAGGATGGTTCCTGCATTCTCTACGATTTTGTTCGAGCTACCAAACTACAGTCATTTTCAAGTCGCAACAATAGCAATAAACACAATCCCGTGTCTTCGGTACATGCACATCCAACACGATCGTCCTGCTTGCTCACGGCGACCTTTGATGGGGAAGCGACGTTATGGTCGAATGAATACTAACGACAGAAAGTTGCATATTGACAGAAAAGGGACTGGGTGGAACAGTTGCTCTATTTTTTATCCGTTGTCGTCTATTCTAATAGACCTGGCTAAAGGTTTGATTCTTGCAGATCTCTTGAAATTTGTTGATCCGCTCATCATTGAAGTCACCGCACATTTCTTGGCTCAAATGTGGATTTTCAGAAATCAACGAATTCACACTGACGACGTTGACTGAAAATCTTCGCCGCGTCCCTGAACCCTTTGGATACAACCACTTGTCATAGGCTTCCAATGCTTGATCTTGTGAAATGCCTCGCAGAGTAAGCACTTCATCAAGTTCGACTTGGAATTGGTATCTACCATCACGAATCTCGCTCCAAAAATGACCAGTTTGCTCGGACAATGAATTGAAAGGCTCGAGTTTTTGCTTAGCAAGCCCAATCATTTGCTCGAAATAATCGTCGCGGCTCATCTTGGAAAGCAGCTCCCGAAAGTCGATTAGAAACTTCTCGATCCTTGCGTTCACTTCTTCGGCCGACTTGGAAGCACTGACAACTCGAATCTGAATTCCAATGATTCCATCTGTCCAGCGGGAATCACATGAGACATGATATCCGAACTGGTCTGTTGTACGAACTTGATCAAATAGTGGTTCGTACATCTGTGGCAAACAGTGAGCTTGTGCCAATTTGATAACGTAGCATCGGATACAAAAGAAAGTGCTTACCATTTCTACCAACAAATCGACCATGATCCGATCCAATGTGTTGTCTTCGCCTACCTGAATGTATACTTCGACAGCTTGGTTTGGTTCTTCTGGATCCATTGCTGCACATCGCAGCGTAATATCGGTAGCGCTTGGCACCTTGGTGACGAGGTGCTCTCGATACTCATCGCGAGCTAGTCCTACCGCCCCACCACTTGCTTCGAGTAGACGAATAATTTCGGATTGGGCATGTTGGGCATCAGATACATTGACATTCCCATGATACAGACCTTCAACAGCAATGTTTCCAAGCACCTCAGAGACTGTTTTCAGAAATGTTGGAATGTCTAGACTGGAAATTGCCTTGAGCTTCAAGTTCCATCTATTTGAGTTATCATCCAAATGCCAAAAGACAATGCGAATATGAATCATTTTACATACCTTTTCATTTGAAGACCACAGGTCGGGTCTCAGACACTTGACTCGAACATCCGAAACTAGGCTTGATGCCTTCATTCCAGCATTGGCATACCGCCGACTATTGATTTCCAGACAGAGATCAAAGAGATCCTTTTGTATTCCCCTTGGTAGCGTCGAGTTGTCTTCTCCTCGAAAGCTCAGGAGCGTATCGAGAACAATTCCAAACAGAGTCATCAACTTTTCGTCGAACCCGTGGACACGTATCGAGAATCCACCGTCAGTGGAAGACATTGAAGTGCTCAATTCGCACATGCTTGCCATGTATACGACTTCGTTCAACGATTCAGCGACAAGGCGGACAAGTAGATCTGAACAAGCCGAATGAAGGGGCGATTTTCCAGCATTTGCACAGCGTATTAGGATTCGAAGTTCAGCAATTGGCCTCTTGAAAACCTGGTCTTGCAAATGCCATAACTTCAAGACATTGGTATCACAAAGCAAGCTAGGGAGTTGCGAAGGGTGCAACCTGGGAGGAATGGAAGGGAACCCTGCCGATTCGTCATTGTCGTCTGGATCTGCATCTTGAGCCATTTCTTCTGTTACCATGGGGGTATCAACATCCATTGGGTCAATGTCAGTGGGGAGGGGTTTCAGCTGAAACTCAGTCGGCACAAATTTATTCTGCTTTGGAAGAGATAGACTTGATTCCGGTGGGGGCAGCTGAGCTTGCGATATCGCTGTCCACTTTTGCTGCAACTCGTTGGGGATGTCCTGGCACCAGTACTGAGTTCCAAAGAAAGGCTCTTGGAGCGGCATTATTCCTGTCGGATCAAAGAGACTATTCGTCAGTGGAGTATCAACTGCTGCAATTTTTTTGGATGGTTTGGAATCTTCAAAGTCTGCGGATCTGCCAAATTTGGTCGATGTCAAGTCTATCCTTGAATTTGCAGGTGTAAAGTAACTCTCCAAAAGATCAGCGACTGCAACTGGATCGAACTCGTACAGGAGAGGAAGGGCATCAAGAAGTTTGTTGGCAGGCAAATCAAGGGCTGGCGCCATCATTTCGGCTAGATTTTCAACCAAGTCCTCCGGCGATGGCTCATCTTCATATCGATACGACATCTCTTGCATCGCTTTTAACTCATCAAATAGAAATAGAGGAAGTCCTTTGTCGCAGTGATATCGGAGCATGCCAACGTAGCGATACACTTCCTCCACAATATCTTGCCAGTGCGTTACTCCTTCTTCGGAAAGCGTCATGGACACCATAAACAACGCATGCGACGAAGCATTCTGACACGTTTACCGCGTTAGATATTCAAATCAAAAGTATTGCAATAAGCGCATGTCGGTTTTTACCTCATATCCCTCCGACCCGACTCCAGCGCAAGCAGCTGTAGCCCAACCCCTGGACTTGAGAGCAGCAAGTAAGGATCCTTCCGCCTCATGACCAATCAAGTGTGCCAAGTAATCACATGGCTTCGATTTCCAAGACTTCATTTGTGACGGAACTTGCCAGGTAATAGTAATGGCGTGTCGATCTCTGACTGGAATAACGTAGTAGACCTTTTGTAGACTACTACTGGTGAAAGGCATGCCGACATTCTTAATTTTTGGCTCATACTTGGCATCAAAAGAAAAGTCGGTCCCCTTTTGTGGGACATCCGAGAAGCTCTTGACCACATAGTCTTGAAGCGCATCGAGCGAGTAGGCTCCAACCACAACCAAACGCATATTTGATGCGTAGTAATACTAAGATAGACAGCTTCTATCATGAGACGATATGGTTCACAGAACAGACAAGATAGATTAGCAGGGAGCACTGACCTCGTTGTAGAATTCACGCAATATGGCCAATGGATCTGCATTTTTTGCTTCTGGAATCTCCTTTAAACTTTGGATGTTGCCCCAAGAAAATTGTGGCATTGGATGGTCTCCAAGACCATGACCACATGTATGACACATTAGCTGTTGCAGCCGACAACCATCCGAGTTCTACAATGTTTTCATAAAACAAAAAAAGTGAGTCCAATCTGCTGTTGGGCAATGCACCCAAGCGGAACCGCCATATGACCAACCTTGACCAGCTGAAACTCGGATTCAATGCTATTTAGTTCTCGTTCCACAGAAGATTCCAGCATCAACGGCTCGATAAAAAATTGAGCAAAGATATCGAGGGCACCTTCCAAATGTTCTTGGGGGATATCGAAGAAATAGACTGTATGTTCGGATTCTGTGTATGCATTATCACTGCCGCCATGTTTCGAAATGTACTTGTCATAGGCATTTTCAGATGGGTACTTTCTGTATATTATTTGCATCAAGAGCAGGAAAACAGTCAGATTGCGTTTTCCAAAAGAGCACAAACACACGAAAGCAAACGTACTTGGATCCCATAAAGAGCAAGTGCTCCAAAAAGTGTGACAATCCTTGGACTTCTGGAGGGTCATACATGGATCCAACGCCAACAATCATGGCGGCAGCTGCACTTCGGATGCCGCCTCCTGCAGCTTCTGATTCTTCTTCATCAAATTCATCCTCGTCTTGTTCGTCCTCTATTTCTTCATCCAAACCATTATCCACTGGTTCGTCTTCTTCCTCTGTTCCCGATTGTTTACTTTCGCTGTCACCTCCATCATCATCCATGGCCGATGATGATGATGATGATGATTGCTTATTCTGGGCCATGGCCACCGTATCACTGACAAGTAGAGCTCGGAGTCCATTCGGCAACAGAATATGACGGTATTCTTTCTTGTCAAACGGGTTCCGAGATGGATTCAAATCAGGTCCTTCCTGTACTTCATTTTGCAATGACATCATTGCTGAGGGTATTGAGTGGATTGTGGTAGACGAGAGTAGTATAGATGCGATGATGAATTGAATACATTCGACCTGTTCGACTTCTCAAAGTCGCTAATTTCATTGACGGATTCAAAGATGTATGAGGGATGACAAAAGATAGTCCAAAGTCCGTCTGTATTATGTAATTCTGGGCATATTCAATTTCTAAAAGCAGTCCACAGTGGTGGCACAACTTGGTCCCAACTCGTACATGCAATACTGCGTGGTCCTCTTGTTCAAGTCTACTCTCTTCGAATCCAAATACAATTCAAATTTTCCAGGAAGAGCAATGTCATCACTGAACTTATCATGCAAAAGTACTCCGACACAAGAAGTACTTGGCAAGCATGTGCCATAGCGATACGTTGTAATTTTGTCTTTCCTTCCGCCATAGAAACCCCAAACATTTGTTTTCGATGAGTCGTCCAACGAGAAAGTTGAGCGATGACCTGCCAGTTCCAAAGGGTCATTTGGAATCGTGTTATTCTTAAAAATCGCCCTTGCGAAGTTCAATTTTGCGACGTCAGGTTCTTCTTCTCTATAGTTGTAAGCATCAAATGATGCCATGAGTTCTTTCATTTCCATGACCAGCATTTTCGTTTCTTCAGGCCAAAGATCGGTCCGCAACTCGATCACCAATGACGTTTCGCCAGCTTCACACGGCATCTCAGAGGTTGGTTTGTTAAGTCGAGAAGATTCAGCGAAAAGCCTCTTTGCTGCTGCTTCGACCGATAAGTCTTTCAGCCCTTCAGGGTTTTCGAAAATATCAATTGTTTCGGAAACCAAAACAGGTAGGGCCTTCACTTCCAGATCTGGTTGAGTTGCATTGCCTTCTCCTGTCACTGGAAACCACATCAATTCTTCAGATGGCACCCATGTGTCTCCGGAAGTTTGTAATTCCATTGGGTGGCTGATGAGACTTGCATTGTACCTTGAATAGAATGGGTCAAACGTCGACAAACAGAAATGGAAGCAATCATCACGTCTTCGGGTGCAATTTTGTGCGCACTCAGTTTCATCATATCGCACTAAAAGCCATCGGTATCCATTGAATGCAAGGAACTCTAAATCGAAAGTTTCGTACACTGGGCGATCATGGACCCTTGAGCCGTCCTCCACTATCTTGTAGTATGGAGCATCGAATAGAACTCCGGTGGCTTCCAACGTGGCAAGCTCTTGCTCTTTGTAATCTGCAGCTTTGAAGGATTTGATCACAGCAACTTCGTCGCGAAGGGCTTTCTTCTTCTCCGCCTTTGGATCTTGTGCAAACCAATTTGCAGAGGAATGGGATAAAATGTCGTACTTATCTCCCAATTTCGGTTCATCATTGCTCCCTCGTAAGATCCAGTTGTCACAATTCAAGTCGGTAGTACTTCCCACCAAATCGAAACGCCATTCTTTCACTTTCATGCAGTAGAAGAAGAAGGCCCGTTTACAATCGGGTATTCCACTGTCTTGACAATATTCTTTCTGATCTTTCTTTTCATAGACAATGATGCCTACGTCGGCATTTTTACCAAAAAGGTTTCGAATTGCTTGCTTGCGCGTGCCGACATAAGAACCTGAAAGAGTTCCAAGCCATGGGACAATAGCATCCGTGAACTGGATGTATACAATGTTGTCTCCATACACCCTATTCGTTTGACGATAAACCACAAGAACGAAGAGTGAGTACAGAACGAAAGCCATGAATACATGGGGCCATCGTTTCAGCACACGCCGTTTCGAAGTTTTTTCAAATCTTGTATTCGTGACCGCTCTTGCTGTGTCTTCCCCGGCGGACCATAGATATCCATTTTCAGCAAGCTTGAATGCAATCCCATCCAAATTGGTCACGAATTCCATCGCAGTAAAGTTCAATAGCAAGTCAATGACGTCATTAGCTTGCATGATCAAAAGAAAGGTCAGGAGCATGCCAATAACCCCCGAAAGTACTTGACTTATTGCTGCAAAGTAGCATTTTCCGGAAGAAATACCATCTTGTTAAGACTTCACCAACTCAGCGCTGTGGGCAAAGATAATTCTGTAATAGCATCGAATAAAAAAAGGTCAGCAACATTTGAAACATATACCATTGAGAATTCAACAACAATAATAGATACGTACAAACCATCAAAGAAGTCTGCTTGCGAGTACACTGTAATAGCAGTGGCCAAAATTTCAGCAGCTCGAGTCCATGGATCGACACCAATAGGAAGTTTGAATGGGTTTGCGGACCGCAACTGTGTGGAATTGGCAAAGATGATAAAGTAAATGCCCACCTGCAAGAGCAATGTCGCAAACGCAAACCAAAATGGAATGTAAAAGAGATCTCGTGATGTCCAATCCACCGATCGGAAACAACATGATCCGGGCTTTGTTTCACTTTGTTTTGGACTGCTTCTAGCTCCAGTTCCAAGATCAGGATCGCTGCTTCCTACATCAATGGACAGCGTAGCGCTAGAACTGTTATGTGTGACAGCTGCGGGGTCTTTGTCTTTTGTGAAAACCTCAAACACTTTTGGGCACTTTGCGACCAAGAAGAAACTAGCAGTAGACTCGGGCAGTTTTTCTGTATCGGCAGTATCTGATGCCTTGTCAGTTTTCCAGTCCTTTTTAAGTACTGATGATGTTGATGCTCCGCCTGTATTGAACTGCGCCTGCTGTTCCACAACAAGTTTCTCTAGAGTGCGATACTTCGATGCGGTTGCCTTTATCATCTGTTTCTCCATATTCTTCAGTTCCTTGTCATTGGACTCTTTCAATCGAGTTTCCAAATCTTCCAATTTGGCAAGCAAATCGGCTTTGGTCAATGGGGCAGCTTCGTCGTCCATTATGCTTGTTCCAGTATCCATACTGTACAACTTGAGTATTATGAATGGAATCCAGTAACCCAGAAATATGTCTGGAAGGCAAAGCCTCCATCCTACGGGCATCTGAAGTCATTGTCAGAGAAGGTCACTCTACTAGAAAAAAAAACTCCGATCAGTTTCAAGTTTGCATGTCGACGGCAAATGGATTCTGCAAATGTGACCTTTTTTATCGACTCCTTCGATTTCTAATAAGTTCATCTTCAATATTCATATTGTACTAGGTATGCTCATCCATCCTGTTATGCAATTGCGGTCAAACTTTTTTTCAACAACAAGTACTACCAGTTACCAGCTACCAGCTAAATACCACTCACAATAAACAATATCATGGTGTCTCCCAAGCGACCCACTAGAAGAGTAGAATCATCTTCTTCCAACTCCTACATGGTATTCTTTGTCAAGGTTCTATTCGTGCTTGTCATCCTATTCATGCTGCCGTCCATGGTGGAGGGAGGCTCCCGAAGGCGGAGACGAGAAAAGAAGAACCGCCGGTCCAATGCCAAGACGGCGATTGTCTACCGTAGGCGATTGGATTGTGAAGCGGATTGTATGGAGCGTATCATCTACGCCGAAGAGGCCATGAATTGCATTCAAGAGTGCGTGAGTCCCACCTGCTTTCAAGAGATTTACGAGACACCCTTGGAGCCAGGAGAAATTGACTTGAACAAGGCGAAACGGTTACAAACTTGTGCCGAACAGGAAGTAGTTGATACTAGAAAGGTGGAACGACAAAAGAAGAAAGAGGAGAAGGAAAATCAGTGATCGAATTTGGTAACATCAAAATGCAAGGAGAAACTTATTTTGGTCCATAGACGATTAAGATCTTCAGTCCTGAAGGCAACTTGAAACTGATTCGTCAGATTTACCACAATAAGGTCAAGAAATCCAATGCCACCGCCTATTCATTGCAGAGAAGAAGATGCCAAGTTTCACACTATCGGCGGACATATTGCAGATGAGACGATGAATAAGGCAAGTGTACGCGTTTGTCTCCTTTGCAGACTCGAGGAGATGCGGCAGGAAGGAGTGACGTATTAATATAATCACATCAGTTGTCATATTCACATTATTTTAAATTTTATAATAGGGCTGGCATTAAAGAAGAATGAAGGACAATTTTTTAAAAATTTATAGTTTGAAGTTGCTAGCATTCCAATCTATACAGTTCATGTATATTTTCTTCATTCTATTGCCATTATGACGATGATGATGATGATGATGATGATAACGGCTTGGCCATTGGTTTCAATGGCCACTGAGCTCGTTTCTTCACCCTCCCAAACATGAATCGTGAGGGAGGGGACCACTTTCGACTACTCAGCTCTCGCAAGAATTGGGGAAAGAGCTGTTTGCATTCTCTTTGGGTAGCTTCCAAAATGTCCCAGCATTGTTGGGATCGTATCTCATCTTCCCAACACGACGATTCGTCGTCGTCGTCTTGCGAGCGTTTGGATTGGAGCAAGAGGAGTTTCTCACGGAGTATCGTCAATGCCAGTGTACTCTTGACAATATCCGCATTGGAGGCATCTTCATGTAGTACAATATGACAATATTCTTGAATGGAAGGTTTGGAAAAGAACAAGGATCGGAGTTTTGGCTTTTTCATGTTGGGTCCAATGACAAGTAAGAATCGTTCGCTTTCAAATATTTGCAAGAGTCGTTCCAATTCTTGACCAGACAGCTTGGCCCGTCCAAGAGAACCAAAGGCCAAGGCACGGCGGGACAAGTGTTTGGGAGGCCAAAAGATTCGTTCGTTGTTGCTAATGGCTTCGGGTGTGGGCACGGACGATTCCACCGCCTCTGCCTTATTGGACGACTTCTTTTCATGTTTCATCGTAATTGCTCCGCTGGCTCCACCATTCACCTTGATCTTTGCAGGAGCAGTAGGCAAAGATGGTACGAGGAACGACTCTGGCTGAGCTCGCACAAAGTTCCGAATGATTTGTTCCAATCGTTCAAAATTCAAGACTCTGAATTGGACCGACCGAATCTCATGATACATGGAAAATATTTCCATAAATTGGAGCCCTAGATAGGTCAAGACCACACTGGACACGGCCGTCCCCACGACGCTTTTGGCAAGAAAGACTCCGCTCGCAATTCCCATCAAGTCCACAATGGCAATCTGCGCTTCCCCCTTGGCCGTGATATCCCCAATATTCTCGCGGGTCCCATCCCGAAAGGAATTGTACAACGAGGTTCGTGTCGACGAACTTGTCAGCATGGCAATCTGTTTGCAGCAATTGGCCAAGGTGGCCCACAGTAGAAACAATTGCGGCATCATGTACGTCAAAATTTCCAAAAAGTTGCCCACGGCAAACAAAAGGCTGGCTCGGAACCTCCACCGTTTGGCATCCGAATCAAATCGGCGTCCCATTTGCGAGGCCCACAGCATGCGTGCCATTTTGCCCAGGGCATCTTTGAGTACCCAATTCAAGGCGGCACTGACGCCCAATTTGGAAGAGGATTTGATGCCCAATCCTAACAATAGGGATTGCGTTCCAATCACGTGCAAATTGGCATTGACAAAACGTTGCAAACAGCGCCATCGCATGTATTGAAAATAAGATTCATTGACACCTTCCGGAATAAATGCTGATGACAACATTGGTTTTAGTAAGGACATGACAGTGATGCGTTTTCGTTGAATTTGATGGGTGGGTTCGATTGCTATAAAACGTTCTTCTGTTGGGTCGTATTGGAGGGGTGTTCGTTGGTTGGTTTGGACATCGACTTCATTGAGCCAAGATGGAAATTCATCAGTTATTGTTGTATCATTGTCATCGCCATTTGATCGTATTGTAGTGTCATCATCGCTGGAGCTTTTGTCCATGTTGTTGCTAGCCGCATGGAGTCGCCTGGAGAATCCCTTCTTAGTTCGGTACGGATGATGGTCTTGGTGGGTGCGTCTTATGGAACATCTTAGATGGTTGTGGATCATGTTGTTGTGATGTAATGATTGCAGAATTTGTCGTTGTTGTTGATGATGTTGTTGATGATGATGCCGTATTCTGGGTATTGTCGCCTTTGATATAACGGAATTGCCATTGTGGAATGCGGATACCGTCTTTGCCATGCTACAGGAACCAATGAGAAGAATCAGACAAGCATTGGATTTCGGCCGTCCATCACCATTTCCCCGTGCATTGTGTGATACAGATTTCATTATCCTTGTTTTGGATGTACGGTACCGTAGGTATGAATAATCTAAACAAACCTTGTCTTGGATGTTGATGAAAAAATCTACAAGAAAAAGGTTGATCTGATGATGACGAAGCCTGAAGGGAGTGACGTTTGTAGAGGATGGAACGAACTTTTCACTTTGTTTCTGTTGGGATAGAGAGGAAGTATTAGTCCTATTATATCAGTACTCTTACTGATATCAAATCTGTCTCTCTCTTGTCGATTGAACTCGGGGAAAAAGCCTTTGGTTGAGGGTGGGTCAAGCTGTCAATGATGATGCAAACGACGTGTGCGCGGCATGCAGACACCGCAACGGCAATCAAATCCAAAATTGAAAATACCGGCGGTAGATCCTTCCGTGAACTTTCATCGGTTTGGCAGCCAGCATCACGGTTGGAGGACAGATGATGTTTTGGTCGAAGGGGTCGTCAAAGCATTTTCCATTGCGTGACATTTGACATTTGACAATAAAACCGCAAATAATCATATGCAGTCATTGTATTACATCATTCATTATTCTTGCCACCAGCAGAAAGATTCCAACATACTGTATCTGCAACCACTGGACTACGCTCTCTATTGCACAATCTCTAATCTTGCTACTGTATCCTCAATTACAGATTCATCGATCATACGATACATATCATAGACAAGACACAACAAGACACAACAAGACACAACGACAGAAATAAAAATGGTGGCACCAACCTCCAAAAAGAAACAATCCAAATCCAAATCCAAGTCCAAACCGGCTCGACTCATCCAAGGAGTTCTGATAGTATTGTTAGGATTGGTAATGCTTATAGTCCTTGGTGGTTCCAAAGATGAGATTGAAAATGCCACCACCACCACCACCACTACGAATGGTGCTGGATCCAACACGTTGATTAGCATGGGCCATTGGGATTGGCATCCCATGGTCCGTACACAATCGGGACCCGGTTGGCAACTGTGGAATGCCACTGCCCCTATGATTCTTGTAGATGACCATACGAAATGGGCCAAATGTCGTTGGACTACGTTCAAGGCGACCAATGGTCAGACGGCCCAAATGTGCGTCCATTACGGAGATGCCGTGTCTCGGGCCATTATCAATCGAGGGCGGTGGGCGGATTGCGATATATTGACTCAACAGTTTGAAGAAACACATCCAAACAAGCAGCACAAAATATACATGGACGTCGGTGCCAACATTGGAGCCTGTGTCTTGCAAATGCTCTTTACGACCGAGTCTCCTGTCATTGCCTTTGAACCGGAACCCATGAATTTGTTCTGTCTTACCAATACCATCATGAGGTTGGAACCGAGGTATCGAGATCGATTCTTGTTGTTTCCCTTTGCGGTCTCGGATGCTCCAGGGACGACTCAAATTCAAGCCCAAGTGGGAGACATGGGGAATGCCTTTTTGGGCGATGTCAAGGCGGGAGACAAGGACAAGCGGAAAGATAACAATGAGGAGGAGGAAGAAGAAGAAGAGGAAAAGTTCAAACGATCCGTCCAAGTGCCAGTCGAAGCGTTGGACAATGTGATCATTGCAACAGCTGGGGAAGACATTGCACTGATGAAATTACACGCCCAAGGACACGAATGTCAAGTCTTGAATGGGATGCCCAACTTGGTGACCCACATCCATGCGATTCATACCGAAATATACAAGACGTCCTTGGAATTGCAAGGATGTTCTTCTGATGCTTACATGAAACAATTGGAACAAGCGGGATTTGAAATTCAACACAAACAAAAATTCTTGTTGGACGAAGAACAACAAGGAAAATCAGAAGTCTTGGCACTCAACAAGAACATGAAGTGAATGAAAAAGACTATACTTTTGGTGATGCTGCAAACTACTTTTTGCAGTGTCTGATGCTGGAAAGTCTGGTTTGAAACAAACAAACAAACAAACAAACAAACAAAACAACAATGGCAGAGACCCAAAACTAGTCTGATCTCATTGGAGAGCAATTCGTGGCGGGTTTGCTTTTTTTCTTCTTGTGTCGAAAAGGGAAGGCGCATTCTTGCCGTCAAAGCTTGATGCTGATGGAGTTGTTCAAAGCAGACTGTTATTGTTGCAGCAGGTACTAGGTACATGTACTATACAATAGGCGGATTGGAGAATGTGTAGTTAGCTTGGCTACATATCGGATGTATATATGTATCATATGTACTATATATATATGTCTATCATTCATTGCAGAATGAATGGTCAGGGTCGCCATGTACCGGTATCTACATTTCCAAACCAAAATATTGAAATTTCAAAATAAAGAAAGATGCTGCAATGTCATCATGTATTGGATAGATGGTTTGCTGCTGCTGGTGCTGCTGTCCCAAAGAGCATCAATCGACTAGTCCTGATCTTGAACGAAAGAAGACGGTTCTGATCCTTTTGTGTGCTGTTAACTACTGTAGTGGCAGACAGCAGCTCATTAGACAATCTTTTTTAAGCGGCATCTTTGGATGTATACCACCACCACCATGGGTCGGCCAGTTTCGACTTACCTTTTTTGATTATTCAAAAAGGTGACTTTAGACTGAGAATGGGAGATCCCGTCGCCCCTTCCATACAGGGTACCTGGTACAGTACCGGTACTGTACTACCGGTATGACTTTTGGGCATACGGTACTACAGCAGTACCGGTATACGGAACAATCATTGGATTCATTCCTTCATCATGATGACGACGGTCGGACGACGGTCGACATGCTCAGCAAAATATGAAATAATAATGTCCAATCATCAGTTTATCGAAATTGTGTGTGAGAACACTCCAACGTAGACCGCAGGCACACTGTTCGATTTCTTTGACTACATTGTGTTACAGACGGACAAAGGCCGAACGGCCTTCGACCGTCAAAAGTTGTTGTCGATGCGCCCAGGCAATGATGCCCAGTTTATCGACTGAGATTGAATTCACCCACTTGTGTCGCGGTAATTCAATTTTTCTCTCCCAAACCTCACCCGCCCTGTTGGGCACCGCCTCCATTTTACCATATCGGCGGTGCCTGGTAGGAAAGCAGATCTCAGTAATACCGCACACGGGATTTCTGAGATTGGTCGAACGAATCGAGTCTATTACTCGATCAGTTCGACCCGCTTCACACCACAACCCACCAGCTACACACCAAGACAAAATACTACGAACACACACACGGAGGACGGCAGTAGGCTATCTTAGATAGGTCAAGAAATACAGTAGGTTTTTTTCTTTCTTTCCCTCCCATCACATCCCTGTTGGGCCTTATTGTCTAGATGCATAAATTATGCATGTATCCAAGGCCTAGTAGGCAAGCATGACCATGATGCATTTTATTCTCACCTTCCAGAAGACGATCTCGAAGTATTCGAACAACCCCCACCTATTTTTGGTGAAACACTTTTATAAAAAGCTTCATGGTGTGCGTGCGGCGTGACGGGTGTTTTTTGGAAGGACACGAGTCTCATCATTTGTTCGTCATGGCAGCGTTTGGTCTGATGCCCTTGTGGCGATAGCCCCACCAATGTTAGGAACTTCATGGTCGTGGGAAGAAAGTCGAATCCCGTCCTCCGTGTCTACCAAACCAAGTTTCACTGCCGCCTTGGCCCAATAGGAACGCCCAGCACCAGATCCCGAAACCTTGGAGGTTAAAAGCTGAGCAAACTGTTGTTTGACTTCATGTGGCATTTGATCACAGAGACCACATTGCATGTGTGTCGAACACATGTTTTGTGCTGCTTGATACAGCCCCAGCAAAGAAGATGGGAAATAGGTGGACCCCTTTTGTCTCTGTTTCACTGGAACATGTGCACAGTGTCGACAGCGAATTCCAACCTGCCCAAGCGACACTGGCTTGTTTCTTCCTCGAGTGTGTGTCGATATATCGTCACTGGTGGCACAAAAGGCTTGAATTTGAGAGCGCAGAAAAAATTGATGCTCTGAAAGGATTTCATGGTCCTCCGGCAACGCCAGAACCCTTGCGGGAGAGGAGTCAGATTCCAGTCTCTGTCGCTTTTGCGGCCGTTGCTGTGAGTCACTCCCCACGCTCACAGTATGCAATACTCGGGGGTTTTGAGCCATCATGAGACCTTGCAATGATGGATCAGTCGTCGTTGCACCAATAGTAGTAAATCGATTGTTCGAGATAGCAGCAGCAGCAGCAGCAGGAATCGAAGAAGGAAAAAAGCCGGGCATTGGATTTGCCGGCTGTGCCATTAAGATCTGCTCGAAAATACTATTCATCAACATTGATTGGCTCATGTTCGACAAGGAGTTCTGTAGGTAAACCGATTGCAACAAAAACGACAAAGCGTGTCGCTCTGATTGTTGGGACAACTGTACAGAATTCAGCGATGTGGCTACCTGCGATATTTGTGGTATCTGCGGTATTTGCGGTATTTGCGGTAATGCCGCTTGCCGTTGAGCTTCAATCAAAGAGGGCAGTAGAGCATTTCCACCAAGACTGACCTGTGGAACGCTATGCTGCCCTCTAGCAAGCAATTGGTTTATCATATCTCTCGTGATTGTTTGGTCTATTTGTCGTGCTGCAATTAGTGATCAAATACATCGGTAAGAATCAGTCCATCGCAACGGAAACAAGCACTGCTTGCCGACCAAACTTTGCACCTACGTGATGAATGCAATGGCGCTCTCTGTACTCCAGCTCCCTCCGGCGACGATGACGATTTTCCGGACAGATTTCTTGGGCCATTACCTACACAAACGAGAGAGCATGAATGAATGCCTTTGAGAAACACGAAAAAAGGCTCTGATGTTTGATGTTGAACCGTACCGGTACACATCACTCTGCTTACCATTGGTCCTAGACTCCATGTTCCTGTCGTCAATCTTGTTGACACTCTTGCTGCCAGGCATTTCATAAATCGAATGTCCAGTATAAACGAGCTCTCTTTGATGTAGCTACAAGGAAATTCTTGTGCAATCTACTGCATTATTTCATACAGAAAAGGTGGTTTCCTGTCGTGTTGTGCACCTGGTACAGTAGTGCTTCACCAACAATACTATGTCGGCGGGCCAAACCGTTTGATCAGAAGCTACAAAATCACTTAAAGCTGACGAACATGTCCCTAACAAATACAGCTGACGTTGACTGGCAGGGTCGGATCCCATAAGTGTTTTACCAAAGCGTTTCAAGAGCTTCGACTTAAGGATATGACGTGCCTTTTTGAACAATTAGAAACTTCGAACTCACCCAAAAGCTGGTTGAACTGCTTAGTACAACGCGACGACTGTGCAAAATAGCATCGATCCAAATGTCGCAGTCATTCCGAAATTGTGACACTAGTTTTGTTGTTCATTCGTGATGCGTTATGAAAACGTCGTGACATTCGGAGAATCATTTTTGCGTGCCTCCGAATCGACGCGTTAAAAATCACAATGCGTGATTGATTTACTGATTGATTCACTACAAACGGTACAAAACAAACTGTTTTTGTTTTAGAACTGCGCAGTCTACAGCAGCTTCATTAATCTTGGTCAAAATGCCAAATCACTGAGTCTACGATTGCCGCAGTGGTATCCGCGATAAATGCCTTTATTTTACAATTGGTCATCCAGCAACATGCGAGCAAAATTGAACCCACTCATTCGTGAGGATCTCTTCTTTGATGGAATGTCGCTCCCCTTCGCCCCGATTCTTCTCTCTCTTCGAGATTCTTTTGCAGACCTTTCTGGTCTCGTCCCATATATGCTTCTAGTCTTGCAATATCGATTTCGTCGGACTGGTAGTCAATTGATGAGCTCCTGCTGTTCATAACACCATCATCCATCATTGAGCTGACTCTTTTTGGAAAATCGGAGACGACTCGGATGACATTCGATTCCGTACCTGGTGCTTTTCCCACTCGTACTAGAAGAAGAGGGAGATAACAAGCTTTGTGGAGTTCCTGGTGTCCTTTGGACAGAGGCAATTGTCCCATGGGCAGTCTCATGTTTTTTTAAAACTGAATTCTGGTTAGTAATGAGTCCTAATTGACAACCTCCAAAATGTGGTAAAACTTGAGATTGTGAGACTTTGTCGAAATACTATCACTGTTTGAAATGTTAGTTTCCATAGGGCGTCACACCAATAGGAGGTTGTGGATAATATCTATGATATTCTACAACCAAAGGTCCAAGAAGAATCCATTTTTTTTTTAAAAGATTTCGAATCGCTGATGGCTGGGTTGGGTGGTTGAGTTCGTGCTCATCCCTGATTGCGCTCGCCTTTGTTTGCAATGCGAGGACAAAGTTGAAAGTAGGAAGTTACAACCCGATCTCATATTGATTTCTGGGCGGAGTTACTCACTGAGGGATGCAGTGGTGGAAGCATCATCACATTCGAAGCTCAAGATGCATGCCCATGTTGCAGAGGCATGGAGCCGTCCACTGTATCATCCATGCTAGATAATGAGTGCATTCGTCGATTCAAGCGAAATGCAATGTCAGTAGCATTTTAGTGTGTTCTTCAAAAAGCCTTCTGAAACCAGAAGCATATATATGCAATCTTGGGTTACTGGTCAAACCCTCGAATGGCATTGAGACGGTGGCGAACTAATCAACAGCTTGCCGGTTGCTTGCAGATGGACCAACAAACTATCCGTATTCCGCCATTCACGACACCACTTTATACTGGTGGTAAAGGGTTCCGAACCCCTGTGAATACAGTCAACAAATGCATCCGTGAGTACCGATTATCGTCTGTAACAGCCTCCTCAACGAGTATAGGAGTCGAATAACGCCTTTTGACAGCAAGCACAGTTTTTTGTTGGTCCCATTGGTTCATACACTAAAGGAAAAGCAGATGAAAGACTTTCAGAGCAATATGAAACAGATGATGGCGCGCTTGTGGATGAAGCCAAATCACCTGACTCCGATTGACGTAATGCACCGCACCGAATACATAGATTCCTAATGCTCGTGTCCTATGCGATGGTGATTGTGCGTGGCGCGCCGCGGCGCTCCAGCTTTGAACTCGAAAGGACCTCCTCTGTATGGTGCTAGCTACAAGGGCAATGCAAAGTTTGCCGACAGACATAGGGATGTCTACTTTGATCCATGTATTGAGGGCAAATGTGATGTATGATGCGACGTGGATTCCTCCGCTATGTCCGGAAATGCAGAGCTCCACCAACGAGCCCTTTTCTATGATTACTCCTAGTATGGTACGATTTCCACCAAGGGAGCAGTCAGCGATCAACTTGGAGGGAGTGGATACGAGGAATATGTATAGTTCTCAAGGACCTGGAGGTACTGGTGGAGCAGCGGAAGTTTTCAGAGGCAGATGTTCAACGCTATAAGATGTCATGGGGGATCGTGAAAAGTTGGCTGTGCATATCAACTGTGGGATACTGATAATGTGTGGCATTTGGGAGGCTTGGACCAATTAAGCGAACTTCATTTACGACCGTTTTCTCTATATTAGTTATAGTTATTGTGCATTTTTCCATAGTGGCTGATAGTTCAATAGGGTGGTAGCTATCCATTATCAAATCTACTGTATGAAACGTACGTCATAAAATGGTGTACTTCCGGGTTCGCAACAAGTTTCAAGTCTCCGAACCCCCACACTGCGGTTGTAGGTACCAGTATCAGCAACGCGAAGTTCGATCTCCTCATATCGAACTTCCATGTGCAAATATACTGACAGAAAGAGAGAGTTCTTCTTTCACTAATAATTCTCTATGGCTCTCTACTACTGGTAGTCCTAGTCGTCTAGAGTATATCATAATAGAATACAGTATTATACTGTACTAGGTGCTACTATACTTCTACAATAAGGCGTACAACGCTGTATGTTCCCGATGCCTCTTGACCCTTTCGTGACTGACAATAATAATGCTCGTCTCAAACTATATTTCTTCTTCCCGAAACAATACGAGGCTGAAACATTGTTTGTATCCGATCAGCCATATATACGAGTATATCGAACTTCCTTTTTTTTTTCCCAGGTGCTTGCTGCGCATTCCAGACCGTTTTGGGGTCAGTCAGTAATATAGCGACGATGGCACTGGATACGGAGAAGATGCCCCTGCTGGTTGTGGAGCTGGTTATCTGCAAAGTGGCCCGTCTTCTTTTCCCAGGGCAGCTTTGCTAACTACTTCGTGGGTGTGTGAAAACTGAGATGTACACGTGTACGGTGGGGTTTGGTGTTCGCGGGTGTGAACAATTAAAGCTATTTAATTAGTATTCATTTTCGTGTAGCTCTGTGAAGCTCAGTGTCGCACCATTATGTCGCAGTTTACGACGAAAATCAAGTGAACCCGTTTTCACGACTTTCCGACCCGCCGAACGTGCCAGCGTGAAAAAAGTGTTTCTACACGAGCCGAAAAATGAAAAAACCCATTCGGCTGGCACCTATCTATAGCCAACGGGCGCCTACCGCCTGGTTTCTTCCAGGAGTGAGGGATTCTTTCTTGGTGTGACTCTGGTGGGTTGTGGTGTGAAGCTGGTCTTTTGGATTGCGCGCGAAGCGTGCGGTTCCAGAAGACCAGTCTTTGATATCCCGCAAAGCGGAATATCAGAGACTTGCTTGCCTACTAGGTCATGCATTGATGCAAATTGCAGCAATGCATGGCCTAACAGGGATGTGGAGGGAGGGAAAGAAAGAAATAAACGTATTTCTTGATGTATACTCGCACACAAGTTCGATAAATTGATCGGACTTGGTGTTGCGGAGCAATGATCAATGATGTTGAAACGTCGTTCGACCGTCGTCAGTATGATGAAAGGAATCCAATGATTCGTTCTCAAGCTTTCGTCTACGTTTTAGAGAAATCAAAATCGGAAACCCAAAATCATGGTCAATTTCCGGCTGCCCAAATCCGAAACCGTTTTTTGAGATTTGGTCCGAAATGGTATGCCTCGAGGCCTTTTTTGATAGATTCACCACAAGAAAATCGATGCACAGCTAACAGTAGCTATAGACTGTTATCCTCTATCTTGATTACATGCAGTGGTTTGAGCACATTGGTTTCTTTGGTTTCTTTGGTCTCCGAATTGACCACTGAATCCCCAACAACAATTTCGAAAGTTGGTTTTGGAACTCTCGCCAAGTCCCCATGCACTAGAAGTGGTAGCTGTGGCTGTAAGATATCCTATTGGTGCGGGTGGAGACTTGAATACGCGTGGATGGCGTCTTCTGCTGTCCCTTCACGACAATCAACGACATTCAATCAAACCTTGATATTGATTTGATTCCTTCATGGTAGCACTTTGAGCGTTTCAGGTGGTAATCCTAATGCCAAACGAAAGTCGATACCCACCGATATATATACCACGCTATCATCTGTATTTCATGTTTAAGATTGGTCCCAATCATGCCCCAATGAACTTGTTCTAATGAATTTCTTCTGATGAGTCGCCCTGTGAGGTCCGGAAAGGGCCCAACAGGCAGAAAGTTTGAAGTCTCTAAACAAAATCGTAATTGCAAATATAGACACCTCTACTATAGATAAACATCACACAATTGCTGGCTGAAGTAGCAGTATTTGTAATCACAACGTCCTCTTTTCGTATGGTTTGGGCCCTTCCTCTGCTAATAGTCGAATGGGTCAGTTGGATCTGACTCGATCGACCACCACGCAATGGGTGATGGGTGATGGGTGATTGGTGATTGTTCTTGACAGCCACAATCAAACGAAACAAAACCTGCAGCAATCGCACGGTATAGGGGACTAAGAGATAACTATGCAGCGACCAAGAATACTCTGCCTGACCCTAAGTTACTACTGTCGGCTACTTTGTTGATACTTCCAACCAACTTCTGTTGTGCGGTAACAGCTAGTATTTAAACTAACAAAAGCATGCATCTGCTAGGTATTATTATTCTGTTGCCATGATCTCCCATCATAGAATCTATAACCATTCGACACATGGGTAGTCTCTTTCCTCTAAGATGCACCTTCGTTCACTTCGACAATACCGACCGGGTGTACAGGAACTGCATGCACCCCATTTCTCAGGATAGCACAATACTCTGTCGTATTGTATGAAGAAACGAGGTTGATGGTTATCATCGAAGAATTCGTCCCTTGATGGCTTTCGATTATAGCACAACTGTTCATTGTCCTTGCAAACAGGAAATCTTGATTGATCGCATGGTCCCAGTTGGGGGATGCCATTGGCATCGAAACTATTTTCGCAAGAATCTCGGTCTGGCCAAAAGGGATCCATCGTTACTTGGAGGTTTCGTCTCACGTTCTAAATTTGTGGTTAATGCACGATGGAAAAGCAGTGAGTCGAGGGGAATCTTTCGGTATCAAGCATGTATTTTTTCATTCCTCAGTTTCTATCAGCACTTACAACGTCGTCACTTGCAGTCACAGATGCCGACAGGAATGTTACTGCAGCAAGAATAATGGAAAAAGCTTTGACCATTGTGTATTTTCTTGTGTATCAATTTCTAAAAGTGCAGTCGTCGAAAATGCAAATTGCTTTGGCTTGTTGCTTTGGCTGTTGACGGATTGCTTTTTGCCTCTATTGTGTCTTGTTTCTTGCCAACTTTTATGGAGCAGTCCCGCGAGGACAAAAACAGTCCGTGCCGGCGTCCGTTTTCAGGAAAACCCGTTTTCGAAGCCGGATTTCCCGAAAACGGGTTGGGGCAAAACGGACTCGCATAGAATCGGCCTTTTATGTCTGCTTTTTCTACTATTTGTAGACCCTACCGGTACCACCACTACCCTCCTCGAGGCAGGGTCGCACGCGTAGGGCCGCTGAATATTTTTACTGCTGCATCTAAACGAATACATCATCGTTACCCATCAACAAAATTCCAACTATAGATACTACGATTAAGACGTATATATTAATATATACACGTACCTATCAAGAAATGTGTCGAAATACTCATACCTTGAACCTTCGGATCTGTGATACACAATTTTAAAACTGTGCAGTTTTAAAACTGAGTGACGCAGTTTCAAAACTGAGATTATGGTCACAGCAATCTTAAAACTGGCACAAGCCAGCCACGCCCTAACCTTTGTTCCCACTATTTCTGCAGAGGTTGTTATCTAAAGCGGTTCTGATTCTGTACTGTAGTGGTGGAAGCTACCAGGTACGAAGACAAGCAACCCCTCCGTAGTTGTAGGTCCAGCCCAGCACTAAAAACGCAACCTCAGTTTTCATCTCTTGTGCTGCCGTAGCATGGACTCATCGTTTTCAGAGTCAATTCTTGCTTTCATATGAAGAGGAAGAAAGAGTTCTTTGAGATGTCCTTAAGTGGCCCATCTGTAGTAGATGACGAGAATCCGCAGACTCACTCTTCATCGAGGGAGAAGAAAAACGATCTCCAAAATGTCCACGAAAGAGCAAGTTGGATATTATGCAATAATTCATTTTTCACTAGGGAATCTGGAGATAGTTGTTCCTATTATTGAAGTAGTGCTCAAAGCCATGTTCTACATAAGTTATGGGTGCTACGGAATGCTCGATAGATGCAGTCGGAGATAGGCATGCGCGTCCCTCCGCGCAGGGATTAACACCTATTTTCGATTTCTATCAAGAGCATAGGTGGAAAACGAATCTCGATTTATATCGCGTAACCACCTCAATTTATATCGCGTAAAACTGCTTTAACCACGAGAACGACAGCCTGAAAATATGCAGCAAAATGGCTTTTACAGGATATCCCAAACTAGGTCACTTTTGAATTTCGATATAGATGATAACATATTATATATATGTACACGTTTAGACCTGTTTAACAAAAGTAGTCATTTAACATTTTTTATGTGAAATAATTAGGGATTTAACACTTTTATTTCACTCTGAGATTTCTGTGTAGCAAATGTACCATGTTCTACGCCCGATAGCGAAACACATGGGTTCGCACATTTTTCTCACTGATCCAAGCCTTGGTCGTCCGAGGTGTGTAGGGACACACAAGTTTTAACTCCTCCGGAGCCGGCTGGAAGAGTGGACTGCTTTACTCCTTATGATCCGAGGAGACGAAATGGAGGTGTCAAACAACGATAACATGGAGATAGCAAACGGAAAACGAGCACAACATCGATAGAGTGACACGATGGTTGAGGAGTTTCCATGATGAATTGAATATGATCCAAAGTAGAACGTCGTACCAATCCTACCTAATAGTCTTTGGGTCATTTGGTAAATTTTTGAAAGCTTGAAGGGTGAAAACGACAGTATTTTACATGAAATGATGATCGTAGAGCATAGTACATTGTCTACACAGAAATCTCAGAGTGAAATAGAAGTGTTAAATCCTTAATTATTTCACATAAAAAGTGTTAAATGACTACTTTTGTTAAACAGGTCTAAACGTGTACGTGTACCGTACATCACATCTGACTGCGCAATGACTATGGGTACCCTGGTACGCGGTATTTCCGGAAGTTCGTAAAATGACTACGCCCGTCAAGCCACCACTTCTGAGATTGTGAAAGTTTTTTAGCTTTCTCAGTTTTGAAACTGCGTCACTCAGTTTTTTAAAACTGCACAGTTAAAATTGCGTGTGCCACAGATCCGAAGCCCACAGCACACACGCAACCACTTTTTTTTACAATACCTCTCATTTCATCATAGTAGCAGCATCAAGGAGCATCTGTAGAGATGTCAGAAAACATGGACCCTCAGCGGGCAAATGAGAAAATAATTGCTGATGAACTAAGCAAGATCTCCTTCAAGGAACGAGAGGAGGCTTACGAAGATATTCATGGTGTTAGCGACCAGGGCAAGGAGACATCAGAATTAATAGAATCCTCCCTCGGACAAATGCAACATTACCTGAAGTCTCTCAGTGACAAATACGCCTACGACGTTGCAGAATCCCTGTCTAAGGATTATGTTACCGATCGTGGACTCCGACTGAAGTTTCTGAGAGCTTCGCTTTTCGACCCAAAGGAGGCAGCTTCCCGAATGGCCGGGTACTTTCGCCACAAGCTTGATCTGTTTGGATGGGAAAAACTGGTTAAGAACATTACTTTTGAAGATCTTGGCGAAGATTCAATGGAGGCGATATCACAGGGAATGATGCACCAAATCTTACCTTCTCGGGATACCCAAGGACGGGCTGTAATCTGTGGGTCGCATAGATTATTCCATGACCAAGTTGTCAGATACAAGGACCCAGTGAAAACGTTGACAAAAGCTTTCTGGTATGTGTTCACGTCTGTTGCTGACGACGAAGAGACTCAGAAAAAAGGTGAGTACGCTGAACCAAGGAATCGTGGTAAGCATGTTTCTGTTTTTGGTATGGAAATGCCGCTCAATAACTATTGTTGAAGGTTTTGTTTTTGTGAGTTACGCCATCGACTCGGGTCACCCATCTGATGCCACCCGGCGAGCAGCCGCACAAAGTTGTGCTATCATAGGCAGAAGTTTACCAGCGAGAGCGACCGCGGTGCATTTTTGCTTGGATTCGCAAGAAGAGGCGGCGCTATGGAGGGTGATGATTTTGAGCTCTCCAACCTATACTCGAGTGCGAATTAGGACACATTACGGTAGGTTGATGACGGATCTAGTCGAGAATTCAATGCGATCTCTTATCCTTTTAATCTCTCCGTTGCAGGTTCGCACAATGAGACCAAATTCAGATTAATGTCATTTGGTGTACCGATCAACGATTTTCCCTTCTTAGAAAGAGGCGAGGTGAAGAAGGCTAATCATTTTAAGTGGATAGAACGACGGAAACGAAAAGAGGAGTATTTGAGAACCCGTTCTCTTCCAAAGAATGCCATTGACATTCCATCAAGAGTTGATGTGATTCTTGGTCGAGGTACTCCTTTCAATAGTCATCCTGGGAATAAGCGTCTCCATGAGATCGTTGCGGACCATTATGATGAGTATGATAGAGAGACGCGTGTGGGAAAGACAAAGCTAGCTGAGATGATTGTTGTCATGGTTCATGAATATGGAGGGAAATTTATGAAGCTGGATGACGAATGCGGCATGTGGATCGAGTTGGCTTCTCTAGATGCGAGGAACAAAGTTGCTCACTCTTTCCGACGGAAGCGGGGGTTTGCAGTGAAAGGGCCCGAGGCAGTAAAGGTAGCTACTGGGGAAGACTGCGGATGCGACAACAAGCGATTGCGAGCAAGCCGAACGAAGCTGGATATGGCATCTTAGGGAGAGCTGTGCCAGATTTTTAGAGCTAATCCCAACCGGGGGCAATGGTGTATTTCGAATACTGTATCTATTCACATTTAATTTTAATCTACATTGCACGGAACACGTGCCTTAGAATGCCAAATTGAAAATCTAAAGCGGCACATTTTGGTTTCACCAAACTTCAAGCTCTTGTCAAATCTAACTGGAAAACCAAAGGGTGGGTGGACACTGTGTGCGCTCTATTTGTTGCGAGCAATCGGCAACCGGCGTGCAATTATAAGCCTAGAAATGCCAATTTCCAACAGTTCCACTGTTCCAGGTCACCGATTCGATTCATTCATCCCTGTCCCAATTTGCCTCCCAAAATGGACGTCATTCATACATTATGACAAGAATCGTCTCAAACTTCTTCTTCCAGCAACAAGGCTGAAAAGGTGTATCCGCTCAACTCCTTTTTCAGGTGCTTGCGCATCCCTGACCGTTTGGTATCAGTCAGTGGCGACGAGATTGGTGAAGATACCCCTATTAATCGTGGGGATGGTTGTATAGTACTGGTATACCACGGCTGTCATCCGTGTTGTCTTCTACGAAGACGGATGGGCTTATGTTTTGGCGATACAAGGATGCTGCAATGTCGTCTTCATCGTCAATGTATTCGACGGTTGCTTTGCTGCCCCGAAGAGAATCGATATCGCTAGTATCAACATCTTGAAAGAAAGAGCGTGTCGATCCTTGGTTGTAAGATTGCTCCTCGTCCTCATCGCCCATGGGAAGTTTCTTTGACCACTGTCTGATAAGCTTATTGCGGCGTTTTAGGTTTTCTTGCCATCCAGAGGATGATGATGCTGATGATGAAGCTGATGATCTCGAAGAGGAATAAGAAGAATCTCGAGCACCTAGTATGGTGAAACAAAGCTTGGTAATGATGACGATGATGCATATGATCTCGAAGAGGAATAATAATTTCGAGCGCCTAGCGGCGAAACAAAGCTTGGTGTTCTTGGCGTGGCGGGTGCCTTTAGATTGGGCGAGTTGTTGGGGAGTCTCATGGTTCTATTGTTCTCGAAGGTTTGCCACCCTTTTTATGTTTGGTTTTATGGCAACCAGAAATACAAAAGCGTCAGTTGGTAGTGATGGATGATTCGAAAACAATACTGCAGACACTATCTTCGAGCGCTTTTAAACAAAAGAGCTATTATTGCTCCAGGCTTAGTTGTTTGGAATCGAAATGCGTCTGCGGCTATATTCCAAACAAATGATGATGCCAACTCGAAATAATCGAAGAATGAAGGGATGACCCCGCCATATCTACTTCAAACCAACAAAGGACAATTGAATATGACATGGACTACCAGGTTCACAAGACATCAGGGTAAAAATAAAATCGTTTGCAATCGGGCTCTACTACTGTTCAATTCAAAATCGCAGAATGAATGCATAGACTACTAAGTTCACAAGACATCAGTGTAGAAATAAAATATTTTCAATTGGGCTGTACTAGCCTAGTGCACATATTGTTATAGTCCCTATTGCAGTATACATAATATTTTATCGCCGCCTCGTTGTCGTAAAGCATGCCATGTTGACAGGAATTCCGATTTCCAACAGTTCTCAATCATCGTCTTCCAGCAACAAGGCTGCAAAGTTGTGTCCGCTCCATTGCTTTTGAAGGTGCTTGCGCATTCCAGACCGGTCTGTGTCAGTCAATGACAACGCCATTGGTGAAGATACCCCATCTGGTCGGAGAGATGGCCTTGGGTTACAGCCATTCTTGTTGGATGGGTTGTTCTCACAACGAAAGAAGGATGCTGCAATGTCATCTTCATCGTCAATGTAGTCGATGAATGTTTTGCTGTCCCAAAGAGAATCGACTACACTATCATGATCTTGAAAGAAAGAAGGCCGTAGTGATCGTAGTGAACCACTGCTGCTTGATGGCTCTTCGTCATCGCCTTCCAAGGGGAGTCTTTCTGACCACTTTTTGACAAGCTTGTTGTGGAGTTTTTGTTTTTCTTGCCATCCAGAGGACGATCTCGAAGAGGAACCTGCAACTATTGTTGGTGACACAAAGCTTCGTGGGGTGACGGGTGTTTTTTGAAGGGACGAGCGGTTATTATTGGGGAGTCTCATGAATGATGGTTCGGTTGGCAGCGTTTGGTTTGATGCTCTTGCTGTTCACGAAGCCCCACCAGATTTGGAATTTTATGGGAAACGGTCGCACCTATGACAATGAGAAAGTCGGTAGTAATGCCGCTGAAATTCCTCCGCAGGGTTGATTGGTTGGAATCGAAACGAGCCTACATCTACAATGCGACGACTATAGCTGCGATCCAAATGTCGCAGTCATTTCGAAATTGTGACTCTAGTTTTGTTGAACGTCGCGACAGTCGGAGAATCAATCTTTCTGGCATAATCGCAATACCTCCGAATTGACGCGCTAAAAATTTAAAACTTGTTTAGTTGTACCGGTAGAACTGTGCAGTCTCCAGCTTCATTAATCCTGGTAAAAAGACATCCCAAATCTCTGCGTGTGACGATTTCCAAAGTGGTATCCTTGGCAATACCTTTGTTTTACAATTCCTACTCCAGCTCCATTATCAGCCATGCTAGCAAAATTTTACCAACTACAGCAAGGGATTTTCAAGTTAATAAGTACAATAATTCTTAGATTAGGCTGGTAGAGCTGTGTAGTCTCCAGCTTCAGCAATCCTGGTAAAAAGGTATTCCAAACTTAGCTTGGTGCTGTAATCACGATCGATGGAGCCAAGAGTTTCTTGCCAGTAAGATCTTCCATTGTGATCGAAGTTGTCAAACGTCTGACGTCACACTTCTATCGACAACCCAACATCCGATGACCTACTGTACCTATTGCTCCCTCATGACTCATCCACAATCACATCCAACATATTGTAGTCTCCTTTATTCATACAAGAACGATCCATCTCTCAAATCGAGATCACCACGTAACTGCAGTAGGCTCTCGAAGATGTTGAAATATATCGTGGGCTTTCTTTTGTGCTCCACGTTGCAGGTAACTGGCTTTTCGACTCCTGGAAGAAATAACGGATCAAGAACGAAGAAACACGAAACAAGTATTGGAGCTGTAACGACGAATGACAATTCGCAATCTGATGAATTTCAAAGAAGGCAGTTTTTGAAAACTTCTGCTTTCGCCGCAATTGGTATGCTTGGAGCATCATCGGCATTTCCACAGGAAGCTCAGGCTCAATATGTGCTTGATGATGAAACCGGTGAATACGTGCAAGTTGAAGATGGTGACTGGCAAGAAGCTTGGAGACAACGTTTGGACAAAGCTAAGGGAATGTCACAGCAAGAAATCTTCCAAGCAGCCCGAGGTGCAGGTAACTTGAATCTAAAGGATGGTCCAGAATCAGATGCTTCTAAAAAGAGAAGAGCCATGTCGGGATGTCGGGATGCTGCTGTGCGTGATAAGGCAAAGGCAGGTAATGAGCGAGAGTGCACCTCAAGAGTTTTTGGAGGGGAGGTAGACTTTATTCTAGAGGCGCTCTAGAAGTCATAATAGAGGCATTTATTCTAAATTGCTGAGTCGTTTATAATAAGTCTATTTTGGTGGGATCATTTTTGTTGTTGGATTGTCCCCAATTGGTGTTGCATCTTGTGCCTTATGATATTAACCGTTCATCTCGGCAAGAGACAGTTCAATATCTCCTGCCGATCCAGCCGAGTAATCATCACTAAACGTATTGTCGTACTTCATGTCACCATATTGGGCCGCAACTTGTCGATACTGCCCTCGTTCGTCAGCTCGACTTGACCGACAGCAACATTTTCGGCAGATGCAGAGCAAGAGAAGAAGAAGAATTGACCCGACTCCACCAAGAACGTATGTGTTCTTCATGCACGCTTGGATAGAATAAGAAGAGAGAGAGCACTCTTGGGTAGCCGGTAATTCAGGTTTGAAAACTGGAGCAGCGTCGTTCCATACCATCTTGCCAGTCGGTGCCAAGGTAGGAGTTCCAAACAAAGCGGATTTCGTGCCATCGTCATCCAGCATTTCCTCGATTCCATCTTTCTTGCCTTCGGCTCCAGGTGGTTTGATAGCTGGGCTGCCTTCGACTCCGACATTGTCCTCGTTAGGGCTAATATCGTCAGCATCTTCGTCTTCACTGCTTTCGTCAGAATCCTCGGATTCATCGCCATCCTCGTCTTCTTGGTCCTCTTCGTCACCATCGTCATCTTCAGATTCTTCGCCGTCTTCGTCACTGTCTTCATCGGAGTCTCCATCTTCGTCTTCTTCTTCTTCACCATCATCCCCGTCCAAATCCTTACCATCACCGCTTTCAACGGCGGTGGCGTTGCCTTTCGCATTCCATTCTTTGATCGATTCGTCAATAAAGTCTGTCATTTCGGCTTCAATGGACTCCAGATCGGTGGGCACTGTTGTTGCTTCTTCTACTTGCTGTGTAAGACCTTCGTCACTGTCACTGTCGCCGTCTTCATCATCGTCATCACTGCTTTCGTCAGCATCCTCGTCATCATCTGTCGAAGCAGCATCAGCATCCTCGGATTCATCACCATCTTCGCCATCATCCTCATCGCCACTCGCAATGGCAGTGGAATTTCCTTTAGAATCCCATTCCTTGACCGATTCGTCGATAAAGTCTTCCATACCAGCTTCGATGGAATCCAAATCGGTCGGTGGATGAGTTCCCTCGCCAACTTCATTCCATTCCTTGACGGATTCGTCAATGACATCCTCCATGGCAGCTTCAATGGAATCCAAATCGGTCGGTGGTACCGTCGTCGAATCTCCAGCCGTTGTTCCTTCAATTTCTTCCATTTCGCCATTCAAGAAATTTTCCATTTCTGCTTCCAGAGAATTCATATCCGTGGGTACGGTAGTTTGAGATGATGATGATTCACCTTCGGGTCGAACAATCATATTGTCCATGGCTGGATCTCCCGCCTTGGTTTCGAAAGGATTATCGCTGCCATCATATTCCAGAACGGGAATATATCCACCTGCTGCGTCGCCCATGGGAGGTGGAGGAGGAGGTACTCCTGGAATAATTTTGTCGGGATCCATGTCACCAACCTTGCTAGTGTCTTCATTCCAGCTAGTAGGTCCGTCTTCTTCATGGGAATGGTCGAAGATTGTGCCGTCGTCATGGGTGTGACCCGCGATGCCATCTTCATGGTCGTGGTCGTGGTCGTGATCGTTATCAACATCTTCCGCTTCTTCTTCGGCGACATTTGTCAGACCATCTTCAGGGAGGTCAGTATCTTCAGGGGGGTCTTCTGCTTTGGCTACATATGTGAATCCATCTTCAGGGAGCGCATTGACATCGGTCGAATCCTTCTCCTCCTCATTACTATAATCATTGTGTGTAAAGTACTCTGGGGTTTCCCCTTCAAAGGGAGGAAGTTCCTTCGTTGCAGCAGATGGTGCTGGTCCTGAAGCGGCTGCTAGGTTGGGGGGATCATCTATGATCATGTATTCTGGAGTGTCCCCAATGGAAGGAGGAAGTTCCGTTTGATTTGCGTTTGGAGGAAAGGTAGGAAGAGATTCCATGTTTGATTCTTAGATTGTAATTGGTGGTTCTGATTTAGCAGGGCAGTCAGTCGTTTGTATGTGCGAGTTACTACTGTCTGGTTTGTTTGATTTTTCAGATAACTACAGTATGATTTGTCGAGTGGTTGAAAGCCAATAGCAATCGCTTTCTTTTCCAAAATCTGATCGAGTGTTGACTCGTGACTCTTGTTGCTGCTGGACAGTACAGTGCCGATATACTCTTGGGCTCGCTCTAATGCTTCACTATAAATATGCTGTAGTTGATCGGCAGACAAAACTTGAAAAATTCGGACTTGGAAAATGACCCACACGTCACATTGTATCCGGGAAGCGTGCAGACGTTGGCAGTCAAAAGGTACTTCTAAAGACGTGATTTTCAGGGTTTGGGTTATTGTGCGGCTCAGGACATGATTAAAAAAATAACGTCACAAAAACATTATTCATCAAGAGTCAATCAATCAATCAATTAATCAATCCAAGATATGAGATCCACCATAGCAGGATTTCGAAGACGCCTTTCGTCTCCTACCATTCTTGCTTCTTCATCCGCTATTGGGGTAGCTTGCATGGGGGGATGGCTCTACGAAGAGAGAACAGAAGTCGGAGATCGCTTCCCATCAAGCATTGCTCAATGTGATGGAGATAGCGGCATGGCTCATCAACAACCACAACAACAACGACAACGACAACAACAACAACTAAAAGGCTCACCAAATGATGCAAACAGGGAACACGTCAAGATGATATTCTTGGGTTCTGGATCGTCTACAGGATGTCCAAAACCCTTGTGTCCCATGGTATTCCCTCCCTCATCTACCTCTTCGAGCAAGAAGCCAATAAACAAGGATCAAGAACATCTCTGGAACCATTGTCAGGTTTCCAACCTAGCCATTCGCGGCGATCCCAAAACCAACAAGAACTATAGAAACAATCCCTGTTTTCTCATTCAATCCTTTGACTCGGAAGCACAGAAGATGCGCAATGTGGTCATTGATGTCGGCAAAACCTTTCGGGAGACGACACTCCGATGGTTCCCGATCCACAACATTCAATCATTGGATGCCATTGTCATTACCCATCACCACATGGATGCAGCAGGAGGTGCAGACGATTTGCGCAACTTTCAACTCGTTGACCAGGATGTATACCAGAAGACTGGCCAATTGGTACGCCTGCCAACGCCAGTCTACGTGTCACATTTTTGTTGGACCAATCTCAAGACGGTGTTCCCGTGGTTGTTTCCTTCTGCTACAGAAGTACTACCAAAACAGGATGCAAGTCAGCCAAAAGTAAAGCGGGATGTTGCCAGTCTCGATGTCCGATTATTCAAAGACTTTCAGGGATTCGAAGTCGTCCCAGGGCTCACCATCGTTCCATTGCCCGTCCTGCACGGTGACGATTTGGTCAGTCACGGCTTTAGTTTTTCCGTTCAAAACCAAAAGGGAGAATTTACCAATGTCGTCTACCTATCGGATATTTCCAAAATGATACCGGAAACCATGGAGTACATTCAGAAGCAATTGCCTCCCACGGACATTTTGGTGGTGGATGCACTCTTGCTCAAGGGGACCAATCCAGTCCATTTCAATTTGGATCAAGCCATGGCACTTCGAGATGAAATTCAGCCAAGAGGTCAAACCTATCTAGTGGGAATGAGCTGCGATTCCTTCCCACCACATGACGAGACCAATGCTTACTTGAAAGAGAAGTATGGTGCGGTCCAGCTGGCACATGATGGACTAGCGATTGACGTTGATGAGTAGATCAAAGTACCGCATACACTGCCATTTTAATGAATATTTTTGTCTATCTATACCAAAGTATCTATGATCCCCTGTAACTGATTGCAAAATTGTTGAGCTTCCATTTCAGCAGCTCCTTCATCATCACTACTATCTCCCACCATTGACAATTTTGCCAACTCTTCAATATCTTGCCTCGTCTCTTCTGGAATACCACCCTCGTCATCCAAAAGAATGACAAAGGGCGGGTATACCTTCAGTCCAGCAGCCTTGACTTCTGGTGCCGACCTCAGAATGCCTTGCAAATCGTCGTATTTGGAAAGTTTGGACAGCCTTGTCGAATACGGTTTTCCCGAAATGGTCACTTCCACCACCACCAAAGAGTCTTGCAAGACACAAATCAAATCCGGCGCTCGTGACTTTTTCTTGAGTTTCTTGACTCCCTGGGTAAACTTGGTTTTGTACAGTGGTTGATCCCGATGAATCTCTTGGGCACCCCGTTTGGTGAGCCAATCTGTAACGGCGCCCAAAATGGCATTGTGCCGTCGTTTTACGGAAACCGAGGCAGCACCCGCCTCTCGCCGTTTCAGCACACTGTTGGATACTCCTCCTTTTGTTCCACCCAGGAAATCTGAGGATTCGTGACTTTCACTGTCGCTATCATCAACTTGGACCGGCGTACTACTTTTGGCGTTGCTGTCTTTGTCACTCTTTGTGAGGACTTTCTCGGCAAAGTTTCCATTCGGGACGAATAGAGCTCCAATGGGAATATGATCCGATGGAAATCCCTCGTCGATATTCGGCAGCCCACTGTTGATAATTTCCATTCGCTCCGTATCCTCGGGACCTGAAACTGTGGCCAGAATCGTGTCAATTCGCATGGCGGTCGGTGCCTTGCTTTGGAGTATTTGTCTCGCTTGCATCTTGGCCAATCGTTGTCGTCGGATTTTGCGCTTTCCAAAACTCGATCGATCAGGTTTTCCAGTGGATACAGCCTTAACCGGTTTAATAATGCTAGGCGTGGGTGGGTCTTTCTTTCGGGATGATGTATTCTGTGCATAAAACAAGTGGTCCATGCATCCTGGCCCTCGACCATGCAAGGAAACAGTCACGGGCGCGGCCTCGTCCCGGTGCCCATCATAGACATCCTTGAACCGATAGTCATGTTTCATCTTGAATGCTGCGACCTTGGAGACATTTGTCTTGTAGTTCCGATCTTTCAAGTTGCCATATGGCGAGGATCCCGTCGTCAGCAACTTGGCAGTCACGCTGTTGTGATCGCAATTGAAGTCACCAGCCACAATCAAAAGTCCATCGAGAGGCGATCTACGGGTCTTGGTATCGAGTTTTGACAACTTTCGAATGGTATTAGACATTGACGAGAGCCGTCCCATAATGTTGGAAGGCTTGGCTGGCAGGTGCACATTGGCTACGGCAAAAGTGCCGCCTTCTTCCTCCTCCTCCTCACTGTCATCCGAAGAAAAAATCTCTTGAAACTGGCATGCCATGCCACGCTTGAAGCATTCCACAGTGACCATTTTGTGACGATCGGACCTCCAAGCAATACAATTGCCGACTACATTTTCAGCTCTATTCGGCAAGAGAGATGACCAAAGGAATTTGTCGTATCCTGGCAGTTGGGATCCGTCAGGTGCAGTGACAGGTGACGACAAAAGTTCCTTCAATTGTGCTTCTAGTTCATCCGTCCCACCCTCGACTTCTTGCATACATAATATGTCACCATTGTGTTGCTTGGCCATTTGTATCGCCAGTGGAAGCCGTTCCACTCGATCCTTTTTCAAGAATTCCATGCGTTCGTCCCAATTGTCAATTGCAAGGGAATTGTATGTGGGGGCCAATACGTTCATGGTCACAAAGCTGACTTCACCATGATTGGTGGGGCGAAAGTGCTTATCTGGGTAATTGATTTTGGTAGTAGCGTCTGTTGTGGTAGTGGTGGTGATATCTGATGATTCAGTTTCCTCGGTAGTCGTGACCGGCGATGCCAATAACCTCCTGCGACGTTCAGTGTCAGAATTCCCAAACTTTCTCTGATTACATAATTTGTTGGTTCCTGTGGGATGGAGCGAGAAGGAATGGAATGACGAAGCGAATGGTAGTACAAGTAATGCCCATAGTAATCCAAGCCGCCGCCGCCGTTGTCTAGGATCCATCTTTTTCCTTCTTTGACCCATCACATCAGATACATGAGAAAACACACCAGGTGTCTGAGGTTATGAGGGGGAATCGAAGTTGTCGAATTCAACGACCATGAAACGATTGCGATGACTCATCATATAAAATATCATCTTTGCCGTTGTTGTATTCACACAACCTCATATCATACTGTAGGTCTGTATTGCAGCTTGAGTTTCACCATTACTGCGTTGGAATTTAGTCACAAAGACTGGCTCAACATTCGGATTCAATAAATTGGTCCACGGACGTGATAGAAAATGAGATCTACTTTTTCCATGTCAACCACACTATTTGTGGTTGCTATCACCATTGCCACATGTCAGGCCTTTCAGCATTCACCATTGCCGTCATTTTCACCACAAGTGACGACGAGATCTAAAAGCAACAAGGGAGTCCAAGAATACTTGACCACGTCAAGATTTCCCTCCTCCTTCACAGATTCCTCGTCCCGACTGTCCACGTCATCCACTCAATTGTCGGCATCACCTCTCTCTACATTGGCTTCGTCGCCCTTGGGTGCCGTTACAGTACTGGCATCCATTGTGGTTGTCCATGAAGCGGGACATTATTTGGCTGCTCGAACCTTTAATATTTCGGTGGACGAGTTTTCGGTAGGATTTGGACCCAAACTGGTGGGATTTGAAGCCTTGGGCAACGAATTCAACTTGCGAGCCCTTCCTCTGGGAGGATATGTCCGGTTTCCAGAAAATTACAATCTTACTCTAGCAGAACAAAAGAGTAAACTTGCCTTGGATGCCTTTACTCAACGGCGTTTGGACGAAGGATGGACTTGGAAAGAAGATACTCTGAATATTATCACATTTGGTCAGTGGGACGAGAAACGACGCAAACAAAGAAAGGATGACGCAGATAAAAACGTCGTCCAAGACTGGAAAAAGCTATCATGGTGGCAAAAGATTGGAAAGAAAGGACCCAAAAAGGGAAGTTTCGGTGCTGCCACAAGTGATGATCCAGAAGATTTCGTAATCGACTACTACGATGATCCCAATTTACTTCAGAACCGACCATGGTTCGAGCGTGCCGTGGTACTGTCTGGTGGAGTCATCTTCAATCTGATCCTAGCGTTCTTGATATATTTTGGTGAAATTGGTACTCCATATGGTAATGGACTGCCACAACCAATTTTCGATGACGGCGTTGTGGTCAGTCAAGCCCCGAATCGAAAGGGCCCTTCCGATGGAATGCTCAACAAAGGAGATGTGATTCTAGGAATCAACGGTACGTTTCTATTTAATTGCTGGATGATCGATTTAGTTGTTAGATTTCCTGTTTGCTGACCTTGCCCTTTGTCAACCACTGTTCCTGTACTATTTTATTTGCCTGCCACTCTCTCCATGGTTCAAAGGCAAGACAATTTCCATGTCGAAACCACCAAATGGTCCAGGAAATGCAGTCGCAGCCTCCAAACAAGTCGCTGATATCATCTCTGGCATTCGAGAAACCAAGGATGGCGAGAGTGTAACGCTGTTGGTACGAAAGGAAGGAAAAACGAATCCCCAAGATTTGGCGATTACACCGACACGTAACAACCAAGCTTCACCCCAAACCATTGGAGTTTTCTTGAGCCCAAACTATCTCAAGACAGAAAAGCTAAAGTCGAGCAATCCAGTAGAGGCTTCTCGCTTAGCATTTGGCTATCTCAAGGGAGTCACGGGTCAAACGTTGGATGGATACAAGAGCATTGCCTCGACCTATCTGTCGGGCAAGGCAGCCCCTCCGGGTCAAGGAATCTCAGGTCCAGTTGGACTCATTCAGTCAGGAACTCAAGTTGTCTCCACCAAGGATGTCACCACTATCCTACTCTTTGCAGCGGCCCTGTCTGTCAATCTAGGTGTTGTCAACGCACTTCCAATACCAGCCTTGGACGGTGGACAGTTGCTATTTGTCGTGGCGGAAGCCATCACTGGACGCAAGGTTAGCCAAAAACTTCAAGAGAACCTCACCAGTGTCGCAGTGCTGTTCCTTTTACTGGTGACAGTGTCGGCGACATTTAGTGACGTTGGAAGATTATTTGGACGATAGGAACGATAGGAATGAATCAAACAGCAAATCTGAAGTCGAGTTGTACAAACGTTATAGAGAATAGACTATACTTTCACTCAATCTTGGATCTTCGATACAAATGCATGTAATACTAGTAATATCATTCCCAACAAATATTACTCCTAGGATAAATCAAATTCATGGTTCTATGTTTTTATATGTTTTACAATATCATATGCAGGCTTGGGACAATCACAATGGAGTTTGCAATCAATGACCCATCACCTTAGTACAAGATGCCTTGGCCACCCAAAGCTACCAAGATGGCAACAGCGATGGAAACGTACAGAATCACATTGGGTTGCTTCTGATCTGCATCCAATCCGGTGGATGCTTCCCGGATAAGTCTATCCCGCATAGACTCCGAGATGCCTTCCTTGACAGGTGCCGAATCCATCTCATCATCATAGAAAGTTCCATCCTCAGAGACTTTTGCCTTGGTTTCATCACCTCCGTCGGACATGCGCAAGATGACTGATGCCCTCATGGCAGAAGCAGCAGCTGGTGGGCGAGCACCGTTGACAGTCACAGCTGGGCGAAAGGTGGAAGATCGTGCTGGCGCCAAGGCGGCGATTTGCTGGGCGATGAAAAGGGCAAGAAGAAGGCGAAGCATGATGATGGTCTTTGGATTATATACAGTATGGATAGTGAGACAGGGAGTGAAGTATTTCAACAAGCAGATGCGTTGTGTCAAAACGAAGATCGTGTCATATCATCTGATCGGATTCTTCCACCTCATCAAATCCAAGTTGAAAGTTGACAACGTCAGTGATGAAAGTTATGGGGGAGACAAAGCAGGGACATAAAAGGGGACGATGGCATTTTTTGCAGAACTTCAAAAAGTTTTCAGCAACCATGGAATTAGGTAATTTTAAAAAAATATCACATTGGTAAACCAGACACCATGTTCATTTTGTATGAAAGGAATCACCATGACCTCTTATTGATCATACGGGACTACATATCCTCCTTTTGCTAGGAGTACATTACTGACATCATGTCGCATCAATTTCCAACCCTTCCAACTTATCATCGCTGGAAATGTCTCAATTTCAGGCACCCATGTGAATCATGCAACTTTCCTTCGGGAGCGCTAAGCACGTCTTGCAACTGACCAATTCTTCGTCAGTGTCAACATCATTTTCTTCACAGAAGGAGGTTTGCTTGGACCTCATTCCTGGACTCACCCACGGTGGACACGTGCGCCATTGGACAATACGACAAAGGCTTTTGAACTTGGTTCGAAAGAAGGGTGAAATGGAAAGGTCATTGCTTATGTATTCGCTGCTGGCAACGATGTCATGAGAGGCACTAAGTGTGGTGGAAGATTTCAATCTAGATACACGATACTAGTCGTATATTTTGGCCGAGATTCCGTCCTGTATATTTTTGGGAAGACACCTTGTGTCCATGTAGTTTTGTACAAATCCAAGTATTACCGATTACAACATATGTGTTTTAAAAATTATTCTGAAAAAATAGGTTTCAAAAAATCAATCACATTCGGAACAACAAACGATGCCCCACATCTTGCCTTGTGACCTTCTCGATCCGCAACAGCAGATGCGACAGGAGCCCTAACGGCAGAAGATACCATATCATTCTTCCAAAGAGCGAGCTCCAACAGCGCTTTTATTTCCGCTCTTTCGTACCGGTGCAGAGTGAAGTGTGCATCTCTTAAGCAGGTATCTCGTCTTTTCTTATTCTCTTCAGAACTGATGTCACTGATCCTGTCGGCCATGTCGGACCGCCATTGGTCCGCACCCCAGCCAGCCATTTGGTCTAACAGCCACTTTTGGAGGTATGCCTTCATCATCAACCTGGTCTCTTCGGTCCAGATGTAGCTCAAGTGGTCAATGGCACGCTTGCCCAAGACATCCCTCCAATTCAGAATAGAGGACGGGTAAGTCTGTAAAAGGAGCTGCAGAAGGTCCATTCGACATGAGGCAGCTGACAGCAGCACATGGAATGGTGTCATCCCGAAGGAGTCTACTGAATGCTTCCATTCGACTGGGTTGTCACCGTCCTCTGATAAGGTGGCTTGGACTTTCAATCGCAAGTCGTCAACAGTCGTATCGCAAGAGTGATAGCATTTCTGGTGAATTGGGAGCTTCTTAAATCGTTCCTCCAAGGCACGTGGAGTATATAAATCCCCATATGGGGAATTCATCCAAGTACATCCTCGCCAGGCATTTGCGCCAAAGTCGACACTTTCACTTTCACATTGAAGTTTCATGTGCGATGAGATCGCAACATTGATCAACGATCGGCAGTTGCGAAAGGCGGAGTCGCCAATCCTCAGAGCCTGCTTCCGTATTTGTGGAAATTCCACTGACACAAGATCCATACATCCAGAAAAGGCAAAGTCATCAATAATCTTGGTAGTCGAAGGGACTCGGATTCGTGATAATGCCACACAGTCCATCAAAGCATGGGCTCCGATTTTGACCAAACCCTCTGGAAGATCCACTTCTGATAAGGAAGCGCATCCCGAGAACGCACCATCCCAAATCATCGTTACAGTGGACGGGAGCTTCATTTTAACGATAGCAGTTGCCTGCGAAAAGGAAGCAGCTCCAATTCGTTTCAATCCTTCTCGAAGCCTGATATCAGTCAAAGAAGTACACCCTGTGAACACACCATTTCCAATTGTCTCGACGCTAGAAGGAATATCAATCTCTCCAAGCGAGGAGCAGTCCGAGAACGCATAGGTGAATTGTTTCAATCTTATGGGGAGATCAATATCGACCAATGCCTTGCATCTTGAGAAGGCCGAGGATTCAATCGTTTCAACAGTCGATGGAAACTTGATTTCACGGATGCAGTAACACTCGAAGAATGCATACTCTCCAATTTTGATCAAGCCCTCCAAAAATATTACCTCAGCCAATGTGTGACACAAGGAGAAAGCCGAGTTCTCGATTATCTCCACAGTGGAGGGTACCTTGATTCGTTTCAGGGCAGAACACTGGGAGAAGGACCTAATACCAATCTTCTGAAGTCCGTCTGGAAGGGAGACGTCCACCAGCGAGGAGCACTGATGAAACGCATGTTCACCAATTGATATCAAACCATTTGGAAACGACACTTGCGTCAGTGCGACACAAAGATCAAAGGCCCGATCTCCAATTTGGAGAAAATGAGATGGGAACAAGATTTGCTGCAACTCTTGACGCCGTCGACAAACCTCATCCGGCAAATAGTCCGCGGACTCATCAATGATCAAATTCTGGACATCAATGGGAATACTGTTGCTATATATCCCTGAATAGGTGAAGGATGTCATTGAATGATGCAGTAATCTCTGCATGTGAGATTGTGATTGATTTTGAGATTGGGTTCCGATCGGACTTTGAACCGCACGATTCAAGATTGATTTGAAAATCCCCCAAATGACTGAAAAGAAGGAGAGGAGTATTATTGGGGAGCCTCAAGTTGCAATATCGTATCTTATTCGTTGGCGTCCGCACCTTTACTGTACCTGTACCGGTAGGTACGCAGGGACGTTAAAGCCTTTGTCTGTATTACGTACTTCTGATTACTTCTGATTATTAGAAAATCACCTTCTCCCGAAGTAACCAGTAGACAACATCCACTCTCATAGCGGTGCACTCTGGACCATCTTCCCAATAGTCTGAAGCGGAACAATACTTGAGTGTCATTGCCCTCTTCAGAACCAGCGCCCAGAGGCCCCGTGGAAAAGATTTCGTGGATCCATTCTGTAATTCTCGCCGTCCTCCTCGATTCAAACTTAAAGGAACAGCTAGTAGGGCACGAAATAACTCAGCATCATCGTCTCCATCTTGGTCCTCTTCATCATCTTCTTCGTCGTCTTCACTTTCATCGTCCTGTCCATCATCATCGTGACAATGTACATTTTCGAGAGTTGTGTTTAACCAAAGAGCATTCAAGAGAGCATCTCTGCATACTTTCGATTGAAGAAATGGCAAAGCTGTTACTCCCGACTCAAGAAATGTTGCACCACTCAGAACTAGACTCCTCAGAGATTTCATTTCAGGCAGTTTTTCCAAAAACACCAAAAAGTCTTTCTCGCTGATTGGATTGGCAAAGAGAACAAGAACTTCCAGTTTCGCATTATCGCCGAGTAGCAACTTGTCGAAAGGAGCAAGATCCGAAATCTGATTATCGCAAATATTGAGGTGCTCCAATGACTTGAATCCTTCTGCTATGTGCGCAGCCATCGAGCTGGTCATACCGTTTTGAGTCATAATGAGGGCTTTCAATGATAAGTTCTTCACGATTCTTGCAGGCAATTTTGAGCTGGGTGGGTGTATTGAAATGCGATGCAAATAAAGTGTTTCGAGAGAGCAGTCGTCTCGGCAAATTAAATCGTCAAAGATATGCAAAGGAATCATGCCAGGGATGTCGTTCTGGGTGTAGTCAAACGCTGTAACTTTGGTTTCCAACAGAGCAGCTCGAAGTATGTTTGAGATCATGAGTCCGTCCGAAAACGGATCCATCTGAAGCTCCAAATGCTTCAGATTGCGGTTTCGCCGCAATGCATGGATGAATTGACGACCTGCCTCATCATTATGAGGTCCAAACGGAAGACGAAGTAGCGTCAAATGGTCTAGACTTGTAGAGTACGCAATCCCTTCGAACAGCATAGACATTTGCTGTATAGTCAATTCTGGAAAATTTCCACAATCTACCAGGCTAAGATCCTCGATTCCGTTTGATTGCATCAGACTTGTCATCAAAATAGCAAATCCAGGATCCCCCCACGCCACATCGGTGAGATTCAGCATTTCCGCTTTTGTTGCAATTGATACCAATGCGGCGAGGAACTCAGGTGAAACAAAGAAAATGTTTTGTAGGGTCACGGTGCGGATTTTAGTAGTTTTCCTATTCAACATTTTGGCCAGATTTTCGAAGGTATGTCGGTCAGAATCCTCGGCCAATTGACCATCCACCGTAATGAATCTGAGGCCTTCAGGCAAATCTTCCGTTTCCTCCAACGTTAATTTATGATAGTATTCATTGCCTATCCCGAAAATGATTTGTAGCATGGCTCTTTGAGTACCCTTATTCTCGGTGATGTGTTGGAACGAACTCACTCATCCGGTGGTGTGGTGTCATTGTCCCGCAATTAAATTTTTAAGCCACGATGTGTGCTTGCGCTATATTGAATATTTGGCGCCAAAACTACAACGCTATACAAGTACCATACAAAGGACGATGTTACTGAATGATGCCAATTTATTGTATAGTAGGTAGGACTACTGTACATCATGTCAATTGAACCCTATAGAGTACTATCTAATATTTATATCGGGCTCTTGGATATCACGCTCCTTTATCATAATAGAAAAGAGATTTTCTGTTGTGCATGTCATGCAGTCAGCAAATCCTCGTAGTCGCCATCAGCATCATCGTTGGCTGGCCTAGGCTCGTTGTCAACAACCTCCGACCAGTGCCACTTTATCTCCAACGAGCCACTCGTATCCCATAGATTAGGCGCACTGCATTTTTTGAAACGTCTCGTCAACGGTGAGGTGAAGACGAATTCTTGGCCAAAGGTTCCAATTCAGATCTACCAGTGACGCAGTGATCAGTGCCGAATCGATAATGGGTGGGATTCAACAAGTAACCCTTAGCCTACGCTGATGATTTTTCCTTCATTTCGTCCAACGATGACTTCTTTTTCTTCATGGCGTCCTTCTCTCGACGCTTGTACGTAAAGCCTGGAGGATTCCAATCAGGACGAAACCCAAACGACTTGGCTGGGATATCCTTCAAGGAGGTATCGCCTTTGATGGAGACTTGAATCAATTCTGCCTCGTCTGCGTCAAGAGGACCATCGGAATCGCTTCCCATAGTCAAACTTGCCGGCGAAATGACTCCCAATTGCAAGGAAGCTGCACCAGACTTTCCTCCGGCAGCCACTAGTTCTGGTCTCATATGCACCGATGTCCAAAAAATGAGGCCCTTTTGTAGTGTCAAAGAGGCCTGCATCGGAGTCTTATCTGGGAGAGTACACACTTTGCCAATGCGAAACCAAGGAGTGCCACCAGGCTCTTCCCCTTCTTTTATTGATGGGCCACATCGTACAAAGACATCTGCGACTTCAAAATTCACATACTCATCGTCTTCCGGATCACCCAGTGGTCTAATTTCCAAGTCGGTGATGCTGGCAAAAATGTCCCATTGTGTTTCCAACGAATTCTTGTCGGCGGAAATGGTAGGTGTGGATGATGAAGAAGATGTTGCCTTGCTGCTTCCTCCAAAGCCACCTCCGCTAGACTTGGTGGGTTTCTTCTTTGCCTTTTTGGCGAATAGCAGTGTCGATAATCTTGCGAATGAAGTGCATGGATTTTCAACAATGGACGTCAATGACTGTTGGCTGGTCAGTGTTGAGGACAGGTGATGATGAGTGGTTGAAATTGATTGGTGATGGAAGCCTTGTAGTCTGGTGAGCAGTTGGATGAACAATATTAATGAAAGTAGGGGACCTTTGATAAAGTCGGCCATTGTGTGTGAGCGATAGTTGAAAGTGGTTGTATCAACGGTGGTTTGTTAGAACCGTAGTGCTCGATGCAATAAGTGTGTTGTGGTTGAAGATGATGGAAGATATTTTCTTTCTGGATGCAATCAGTCATGCATGCGCGGCTGACATATTTTTGATCCAATGAGT